CGTCCTTCCTCCTCCATCCCTCACCCATCCTCGCCCATCATCTGGCCTCCTCAATCTTCACCTCACTCCCCGTCCATCCTCCCTGCGTTCTCCTTCCTCCTCCTCACCCCTCCTCCTCCCTCCTCCTCATCCTGCGTCCTCCTCCTCCCTCCTCCCTCCTCCCCCTCCCTCCTCCATCCTCCCTCCTCCCTCCCCCCTCCTCCCTCCGCCCTCCACGCTCCCCCCTCCTCCCCCCCCGGGCCGCCCGCCGCCCTTCCCCGGGCGACGAAGAGGTCCGAGGTCTGCAGGCGGTTGAACCAGACCGCCAGCGCCTGCCACGCGCGCGCGCGTCGCGGCCCGGCTCGAGCGCTGCGCCGCCCGCCCCCCCCCCCGCGCGGCCGCCGCGCCGGATGGAGACTTCTCTGGGGTAGGGCAAACATCTTCTCCACGGAGGAGAGGGGGGAATCCGCTGCCCCTCCAAGGGGGCCAACTGCAGTCAACCCGTGTGGCAGGGGTGCGCGAGAGGGATCGCAAGGGCCTTGGAAACCCATGTCGAAGCTTTACGAGCGGGGCGCGGCCAACGAAAGTGGCCAAGGACGAACTGAGGAGGCAAAGATGCCCGGGTACTCTTGGGAAGGTGGCCCATCCTTGCTATGCGGGTTGACTGTATCCCAGACGCGCATCCCGAGCGAGACCGACGGCAGGGCGGCGGAGACAAACACCTGGAGAAGCCCCTGGCCCTCGGTTCGACCAAGAGGGTTCGGCGGCAACCCATGGGAGCCTCCCATACCATCGTGTTGGCTCTAGCGAGTCGACGCTAAGTCGACGCTAAGCCGACGCTAACTCGACGTAATGTGCTCGGTTCGACGCTCAATCGGCGCTATCTCCTCGATTACCAAATTCTCGACGCGCGAGCACTCTAAAGACGGAGTTGCGAGGGCGTGCAAGGCTCCCATGATTAGCTACCGACAAAGGGAGGGGGTAGCGAATCAGCCCACGCAGCTGCTTTCCACGGCGCCTCCCGGCGCCAGAGGCGCCCCTGTAATATCGAGGCGCCGAAGCCAGCCGCATGCACATACCAGCCCCCCCCCCCAGCTAGGTCGGGGACCCGGCGGTCTGGGGATCCCCCTGTCTGGGCCCCCCTCCCGTCTCCTCCTCCTCCTCCTTCTCCTCCTCCTCCTCCTCCTCCTCCTCCTCCTCCTCCCCCTCCTCCCCCTCCTCCTCCTCCTCCTCCTCCTCCCCCCTCCCCCTCCCCCTCCTCCTCCTCCTCCTCCTCATCCTCCTCCTCCTCCTCCTCCTCCTCCTCCTCCTCCTCCTCCTCCTCCTCCTCCTCCTCCTCCTCCTCCTCCTCCCCAGAGGGGCCCCCTCCTCTTGGGGCTTGGGGACGGCCGCTCGCGCGGACGTTGTTCCCACCGGGCCACACGTATTGGGCTACTCGTTCCTGTCGTGGTGAAGGGAGGTGGAGGAGGAGAAAGGGGGGGAGGAGAAAGAGGAGGATAATAAGGTGGAAGAGAAGGACAGGGATGAGGAAAGAGGAGGAGGAGGCGGAGGCGGGGGAGGAAGAGCACGAGGAGGCGGGGGAGGAGGGAGTAGGAGGAAGAGGAGGAGGAGGACGACGAGGAGGAGAAGGAGGAGTCAGGAGGGGGAGGAAGAGGAGGAAGATGAGGAGGAGGAGGAGGATGAGGAGGAGGAGGGGGCAGGGACGCCATGAGGTAAGAAGAGGCGCCATGCAATCTGAGGACATCTCATGGCCGACGCCACGGTATCCCTCCCCCCTAGTCATCAGCCCACTCTTTGCCGCCCCCGAAGGAAGGGAGGGATCGTGGATCGAGGATCGATATGCTGGGATCCACCCTTGGAGGGGGAAGAGAAGAGGGTCGAGACACTCCCCTTGGGGAGGAGGTTGGGACGCGCGGATCGAGCGACTCTGCCGAGCAGGCGAGGGGAGTCACCAGCAAGGGGGGGGATTTGCGGCTGGCGTGAGGAAGTTGCAGCTTCAGGGGGGGAAAGGAGGAGGAGGAGGAAGGAGGAGAAGGAGGAGGAGGAGAACCAGGAGGAGGAGGAGGAGGAGGAGGAGGAGGAGGGAGGAGGAAGGAGGAGGAGGAGGGGGGAGGGGGAGGAGGAGGAGGAGGGGGAGGAGGAGGAGGAGGAGGAGGAGGAGGAGGAGGAGGAACCTCGAGAAGCGAGAACCGAGGTTCTTGAACGTGTGTATAAACTCTTTCGTGCCTCCGGAAGCGCGCATGGCCCAGGCCCGAGCGTGCCCCCGGGGACTGGCTGGCCGTGAAGGCTGATCAAGGGGGGAGCGGGGAGAGAGGGAGCGGAAAGCCGACTCGGGTGAGCTGGCCCGAGGGCGCCTCGAAGCGCACAGAGCTCGCCCTGCGGGCTCGGCCACGCCCCCGGAGAGTGGAGGAGGAGGCAGAGACGGAAGGCCCCAGACGGCGATGCTGAGTCGATCTTTTCGAACCGCCGGATGTGTGGGCCCGCGTGCCGAAAGTCGACCCCTGGACCTGTCAGAGGGCGCGTTCTGGCCAGAAGTTCGAAGCGAAGCCAGCCACAGCGACGAGAAGACTTCCAGAGACCCAAAAAGGGCAGAAGGCGTTCAAAAACCCGCTCCAGAAGGCTGGGAGGATGAGGAGGAGGAGGAGGATGAGGAGGACGAGGAGGAGGAAGAGGAGGACGAGGAGGCGGAGGCGGAGGCGGAGGCGGAGGCGGAGGAGGAGGAGGAGGAGGAGGAGGAGGAGGAGGACAGAGGAGGAGGAGGAGGAGGAGGAGGAAAAAGGAGGAGGGGGAGGAAGAGGAGGAGGGCGGCGAGGTTCTCGCTCTGCTCCTCCCTCGTCCGCGCCCTGGCCTCCCCTCCTTCTGCTTCCCCCTCCCTGCTCTCCTTCCTCGCTCCAACCTCCATCCCTCCTTTCCGCGTCCCTCGTCCTCTTCCCGCCTCCTTGTCCTGGACTTCCGCCTCCCTCCCTTTCCCTTCGTCGCCCCCCCCCTCCTCCTCCTCCTCCTCCTCCTCCTCCTCCTCCTCCTCCTCCTCCTCCTCCTCCTCCTCCTCCTCCTCGTCCTCCTCGTCCTCCTCGTCCTCCTCGTCCTCCTCGTCCTCCTTCTCGTCCTCCTCCTCCTCCTCCTCCCCGACCTCCTTCCCTTCCCCTCGCTCTTGTCCCATTCCACTTCCCAACACGCCCGAAATTAGGACGGAACAAACGGGGACGATGCCCGACAACAAAGGTTTTCAACATCAACAGCGGCCGTTCTGGGCCAACCGTTTTTGTCCCAAATATACGCCGCCACATGTCTTTGTCCCGTCTTCATCCCCACACGTCGATCGTACCGCTCCCCCTTCCTCCCCAGACCTCTGGTGCCATGCTTCTGGCAAGACCTGATTTTCATCCTGAGTGCGTCATTTTATTGAGGTCCCCAGGGAGGCCGACGACTTGCGGAAGCCTCCCGTCGCCTTCGTTCTTTTCGCGACGTGAAGGGGTCAGGGTCCATCCCCCCTCCTCCTCCTTATCCCTCCCTCCCTTCCTCCCTCCCGCCTGCCCTCTTGCTCCCCTTCCTCATTCTCGTCCTCCTCGTCCTCGCCCTCGCCCTCCTCCTCCTCCTCCTCCTCCTCCTCCTCCTCCTCCTCCTCCTCCCCCTCCTCCTCCTCTACCTCTTTTCTTTATGATCACTGAACTCCTCCCTGTCACACCTCACGCCCCCAGACGCGAGGGCAGGGTGGGCCAGGCGTCTCGCCCGAGACTTCCCCCCGCACGCTTGCTCCGAAGGAAATTCGAATCCGCAGCTCCGCGGATGGAGGCCCTGGCCGTCTTCAGAGTGTGGCTCTCGCCCTGGCGCCGCGCGCACGCGTATCAAACGGTTGGCACACTTTGGCGGTTGGGGGGGGGGGCGGGTCGTTTTCAACACGTAGTGTGGCTCTCGCCTCGGGGGGGGTCGTCTTCAACATGTGATGAGGCTCTCGCCCCAGCGGCTGGGGGGGGGGAGGGGGGCGGGTCGTCTTCGGCACGTGATGTGGCTCTCGCCTCGGCGCGCACGCTCGTCTTGAACAGCTGTGTCACAGCTTCACGGGCTGACGGCGTGTCGTTCTCAACATGTGGCTCCATCGTCAGCGCCGTGCACGTTTGCCTTCATCCAAGGCAACAGCTGCAAGGATGGAGGGCGGTCCCAGTTCAGAATGTGGTCCTCGCCCTAGCGCCGCGCCCATTCATTCGTCGTACAAGTCTGCAGCAGCTTCACGGATGGAGGACAGATCTTTTACTTAAATGTGACTCACGACTCAGCGTCGCGCTCGCACGAGCGCCACACAAATTCGTGTTACAGGTTTGCAGAGGCTTCAAAGATGGAGGGAGGCTCCTTTTTCAACATGTGGCTCTCGCCTTAGCCCGGCGCACATTCGTCGTACAATTTCGACGGCAAATCAATGATACGTTGTGTCGCAATTCCAGGAATAATGTTCGGGTCTGACCTAAGGTTGACGGGACGTAACAATCACGGATCTACGGTGCTGAAGTCCCAAGAACCGCGCCTGGCACATCTCAGGATTGTCAGAACCTACGAAGCGTTAACATCCGCGGCGTTGAAATCCCAAGAACGGTGTTTTGCACGACTGAAGATTCTCAACCAGTTGTCTTCCAATCGGGCACTTCCCGCAGTGAGCATGCATCCCTGTGGCGGCCTATGAGGATGACCATTGGAGGGGGGGGTTACTGCAACTTTGTTGATGCGTCTTGGGCTCGCACTAGTCATCATTCCTCCTCATCTTCCTCCTTCTTCATTTCTACTTGTTTTCTCATCTCATCTTCTCGGTTCTCGTCTCTTCTCTTATCTTCCCTTATATTCCCTTCTCATCTCTTCTCTTCCTCATGACCGGCTGATGGTCTGAATCTATATATCCCGCGGACGTGATCATCCCCCCCAAGGCTGGTCGGCCCTTGGGGTGTGATTCAACTCGTAGACTTGCGAATGTTGTCGCTGGCTAGGTCGGAGGAGATACAGCATATAGTGAATGACAACAGACACAAAAAAGAGGGGGAGGAAGGAGACGGGAGTGAAAACCTCCTCCTCCTCCTCCTCCTCCTCCTCCTCCTCCACCTCCTCCTCCTCCTCCTCCCCCTCCCCCTCCCCCTCCCCCTCCCCCTCCCCACCCCTCCCCTCCTCCTCCTCCTCCTCCTACCCTCCTCCTCCCCTCCTCCTCCTCCTCCTCCTCCTCCTCCTCCTCCTCCTCCTCTCCTCCCCCTCCTCCTTCTCCCCCGCCCCCTCCCCCCCCTCCCCCTCCCCCTCCCCCTCCCCCCCCCTCCTCCTCCTCCTCCTCCTCCTCCTCCTCCTCCTCCACCTTCTCTCTCCTCCTCCTCCTCCTCCTCCTCCTCCTCCTCCTCCTCCTCCTCCTCCTCCTCCTCCTCCTCCTCCTCCTCCTCCTCCACCTCCTCCTCCCCTCCTCCCCTCCTCCCCCTCCCCATCCCCCCCCCTCCCCCTGCCCCCCCTCCTCCTCCTGCTCCTCCTCCTGCTCCTCCTGCTGCTCCTCCCTCCTCCTCCTCCTCCTCCTCCTCCTCCTCCTCCTCCTCCTCCTCCTCCTCCTCCTCCTCTCCCTCCTCCCCCGAGGCTGGCCAGCAGGCCGGTGCGGGGGCACACGCGCTGGGCGCCAGGCCTCCTCGAACAGCTCCGGCTGCAGCAAATTCTTCAGGGCGTTCACCGACTTGGGCGCGACGGTGGCTCGGCAGGGGGGGATGCTCAGGCAGACCTGCGGGGGGCTCAGACTCCCTCCTCCTCCTCCTCCTCCTCCTCCTCCTCCTCCTCCTCCTCCTCGAGCCTGCTCCTCCTCCTCCTCCTCCTCCTCCTCCTCGAGCCTGCTCCGAGTACAGTCCTCACTGGGCAGTGCGCAGCATGGGCGTGGCGGCGGTCGAGAGGGCCCACCACATTACATCATGGCATGCAGCTGCCCTGGAGCGACTCGTGCCTGAGGGCTCCAACAACTCGTCGAAAACCCTTTGAGGGTCACGGCTCAATGCCGTGATCTCCCCTCGAAGGATCAGCGTAACCAGTGGTGGACACGAATCCGCACAGTGCTCGGAGACTTCCGCCGCCGTGCGTGCAGGGCCCGGTGGGCGGAGGCGGCGAGAGAAGCACGCCAAGCTATGCTGCACGCCCACTACCTCAGGACCGTCCAACACCCACATCGTCCTCAATCCTGGGGAGGAGTAGGAGAAGGGGGGACGGGGAGGAGTTGGAGGAGCAGGAGGAGGAGGAGAAGGAGGAGGAGGAGGAGGAGGAGGACCAGGAGCACGAGGAGGAGGAGGTGAAGGAGGAGGAGGAGGAGGAGAAGGAGGAGGAGAAAGAGGATGCAAGAGGATGAGCACGGAACATGCACATATAGGCGGAAGATGGAGGAGGAGGGAGAGGAAGGAGGAGGCGTTGGAGGAGGAGGACGGAGGAGGAGGAGAAGGAGGAGGAAGAGGATGAGGAGGAGGAGGAGGAGGAGGAGGAGGAGGAAGAGGAAGGGGGGAGGACGAGGAATAGGAGGAATAGGAGGAGGAGGAGCAGGAAGAGGAGGCGGAGGAGGAAGAGGAGGAGGAGCAGGAAGAGGAGAAGGAGGGGGGTTGGAGGTCTTGCAGGCGTCATCCAGGACTGCGACACCGGTACTTGAGGATTACGTCGACGCAGCCAGACGTATTGCAGCAAGGCGGGGCCACACTCGCACAGCCCTTCGGCAATCAGCTCGTGAGTTCAAAGAGGTTGTTGCTACGCCATGGGCAGTGGGCATCCTACACAAGAAACTCAAGTAGAGCCCACTTGCATGTCACAGTTGAGAGCTGGAATTCGATGACAGAACTTTGAGACACCCAGCAGACGCCATGGATCGGAAGGCTGCTGCACTCAACAAACAATTTTGGGCTCCCAAAGCCACAGACTTGGACGAGGTCGAAGGAACTGCTCCGCCTCATGCGTGAGATCAGCCACGAGCAAGTCTATCGAAATGCTCGGTCCATGCTGGTGTGGGGGTCGGCGTCCTCACACCGGTGGACTACCAGCGCCTGCCTCATGATGCGATCGAGGAATGCACCCAACTCCTCAGCAATATCGAACTGGTGCTGGCATGGCCTCTGCAAACACTCTTGGCCGTCGGGCACCGGACGCCGAAGTTCTAGGGCGATTGTGGTCACACATCCGCGAGCCGCTGGTCCGCCAGCGGTCAAAAGGAGGAGGCCCAGTCGCGGGACGCGGCGGCGGCAAGCAACCCATTCCTGCAGGAGGCGTACCGCCAAGCCATCAACGAGCAGTTGGCACGCGCTATGAAGATGGAATTCGAGCGCCCTCGGGGAGGCACAGCTGATGGACCCTCCACCCTGGGTTTCGGATCTCCTCGACAAAATTCGTTAACCCCCGACCGCAGCAAAAACCTGATGCGCCCCCCCCCCCTGACGTTGCCCCTGAGATACGGGCTGGACTCCTGCGTGCCCCAAGTGAAGCGCCAGCGTGTGTTTGTCCACCGAAGCTCTTAGGTCAGTGCGACGCAGGCGGTTTTACGAGGGCCGACACACCTTGGGCCGACACGCTCTAGGATGATCATCGACCCTGACAACCCTTGCCCTCAGGACCCCCGGCACAGCTACAGTGCGAACGCGGCCGCAAGAAGCCCGTGCAAGAAGCCCAGCCCTGAAGACCCACGCGCGATGTGCGACCGTGGAGAAGCCTAGGGCACCCTGGACGCAGCAGGTTCTTTGACGGACGCGGGAGGTCACCGCACAGCCCGCGAAGCGAAGAATCCCAAGGTGTCTGGTTTATTGATGCGCGGCCCCCCTGTGCCTAATTACTGTTGGACGCCCGAAATGGGCACGGGCAGAAGGGGTACAATGCCCAACAGCACATGTTGTCCCAAACCAGCAGCGCCCGCTGTTGGACAGGCGGCCTTCTGTCTCGAATGGACACAGGCCGCGGCGGCGTGGACAGCGAGTCCCGTTCAAAATGAACAAGATCCGCTGTTAGGCATTGTACCCATTCTTTCCGCTTTCCGTGCCCATTTTGTTCGTGCAGAATTACTGGTTCAAAGTGATGGACTACCTCTTCCGAGCCGGCCTGGCCGAAAGCACGTGCGGGCCGTTGAAACCGCACGGGCGCTGAGGGAGCCTCGGGGGGGCACGGGCGGCTGTACAGGCAGCTGCACGGGTACGAGCGACTGCACGGGTGATCGGATCGCTGTGTCTCCTCGCTGGTTTTCAGATGGGCCATCCATTGCATCCGCATTTTATTCATGTGTGGCTCCTCGCTGCTTCATGGGCTCCCAGATGGGCCATCAGTGGCGCTCGCGCTTTGCCTCTTCCTGCACATGTGCAGAGTGTGCGTGCGCCGCGCGGCAGCCACCTGGGCCCATGCCAGACGAAGGGGGCGGAGAGATCCCGAGATACGTCGCATGCACTTGACGCCGTTTTGAACTCTGTACCGAAAACATAGATTCCCCCGCTCCCTCTCTTGTTCTTACTTTGAGGGGCGGCGGTAGGGTGGGACCCCAGCCGATGGGGCGAACTAAGCACAGGGCAGGATGATGATGATGATGATGATGATGCTGATGATGATGATGATGATGATGATGATGATGATGATGATGATGCTGATGCTGATGCTGATGCTGATGCTGATGATGATGCTGATGATGAGGAGGAGGAAGCGGAGGAGGAGGAGAAGGAGGAGGAGGAGGCGGAGGAGGAGGAGGAGGAGGAGGAGCAAGAGAGGAGGAGCAAGAGAGGAGGAGGAGACGGAGGAGGAGGAGGAGGAGGAGGAGGAGGAGGAGGAGGAGATGGAGGAGGGGGAGAAAGATGAGGGACTTCGGCCAAACGGCGGCGGGAGACCCCGCGGGCCCCCACACGTCCGCTCGTGGGCCGCGTCGGAGTGGCGCCGTGCGCAAGGCAGGTCGGACCGCGGAGCACACAGTGGAAGGGGCCCCTCAGAAGCTGCCGTCGGGCCTGCGCAGCGTCCAGAAGAGCCCCGACACCAACACACGGGGTCTGCCTCGACGGGGGGGGAAGACGGCCCCAGCTTTCGGTGCTCGTGGCAACTGTTCGGTCACCCCCTTGGAAGCCTGAGCATTACCACCATCGCCGAGATCGGGACCTTCTTCCCTCGGTGGGGGCACACCGCCGATATTGTCGGTGTCGACCTCGAGGCTGGCGCAGTGTCCATGCAGCCATCGTGCCACCAGGAGGAACGCGTGATAAGGAACGGGGGGGCTTTTCTCTGGCCACGGCGGGCCTGGGCCACCATCGAGGTCCACGACAGAGATCTGATGACGAGAGAACAACTCACACCCATGCCCATAGGAGGGTCGACAGGAGGGGAACTGTCCATGGGTATGGGTGCGAGTTGTCGGACCCTGGGGGGAAGCTCCCGTTCGAGCGGGGACCCCCATCCGACGACACGCACCCATAGCCTCCTCCGTCCCCCCTATGGGTATGGGTGCGTGTTGCTCGACCGTCATCTGAGGAGCGGCCCGTGAACCCGAGCCCCTCCTGCGCCCCAACGGGGCCTTCTTTCGGCGGCTTGGCTGTAATTAAGAGCAAGAGCGCAGCGGAGCACAGGAGGGCGTGCTGGCATGCACGGAGCTCGGGCATGCAGAAGCAGGGTGCGGACGGCGATGCCACGCCCTGGGAGAGCAGAGCACTGCCAGCGCGAGCACCAAGCTTCCAAATGTGCACTGCAGCTGCCCCGACAGTGAGGAAACGAACAATGACATAAACATAGAATTTCGGAGGTCCGCGCGGATTGCTCGGATCGGCGCTGGTGCCCCCCTCCCTGGCGCGCGGAGCGCGCCGGGGGCGGCGCCGGAGGCGCCGCCAGGGGGCCCCAGCGCCGATCCGAGAAATCCGCGCGGACCTCCGAGTTTTTATGTTTATGTCATTGTTCGTTTCCCTGGACAAGTGCTGGAGAGGGGCCGGGGTCAATCGGATCCCGCCTTTCAACACCATCTCACTTGCGAGCACGCTCGGCTGGGATAACTGTTAGCCCGCTCGGGACGGTTTGGACTCTTCCTCGGCACGAGCACTGGCGATCACCCAGCGAGCGCCCTGCTACGCCCAAGTGGGATGGGGGCCAACCAATTGTATCAACAGGTGCAGTCGAGATGAATTCGGCAGTCCTGCCGATCCGAGTGCACCGGGCCACCGGGCCCACGACTGAAGGGGCCTTGGGACACACAAATCAATACACACACATAGAAGGATTCCATATATTTCCCAGGCTTTTTGTCTTCCCCCCCACTTCCCATATTTTCCTACATCTTCTGGGGAACCGACGATTCATTGTGTCTGTGTGTTTTTTCCCTCCTGAACAACCGCCTCCAACATCCAGGAATGACTTCGCTTCGAGTGATTCCCACCTGCGAGCGCGAGGCTATAGACCTCCAGGGAACGCCGCCACGCTCTGGGCCGGGCGCCCGCGGTGTGCGGTCGTCGCCCGTCGAAGGCGCGAGGCGGAACCCCCAAGGGCCAACGGCACCCTCTAGACCACTGGTGGCCGCAGTACGCTCAGGTCGGGCATGTCCCCCACAGGCGGATCTGGCGTGAAAAATAGAACATCGTCAAACAAATGCTCAACAAACGGCAAAACATAATAATCCCCAAATCGTCCCCATACCATTTTTTTGACTATTTTTGAATACTCCTGCTGTAGAGGGACGGGCCCGACTCAACGGTATGCAGGGCGCGTGAGGCGGATCGGGAGCTCTTACTTGAAATCTCGGGGACGCACTGACCCGGGTCAGTCGGGCTCTGCAGGATCCCATCAGATCCTGCGCAGGATCCTGCACCCAAGCCCAGGTCAGTGCAGCCCTGGCCCTGCAGGATCCTGCAACATCCGGCGCCCTGGCCGACCGCCCCCGCCTGCATTGAGTTTTGCTCCTGGAGCCCCAGGGATCCAACAACCCCAACCTGTCGGGTGGGGAAGCAGCCCCTCCTGCCCTTCGGGCGCGAGGGCCCCGATCGCGCGCCGACGCGCGCGCGCAGCGCGTCGGCGCGTCGTGCGCCTCTGCGGCGTGCAGGTCGCTTTTCGAGGACGGCTCAGCGCACGCAGCCGCGCCGCGGCGGCGCGGCGACCCGCCGCAGCGCCGCGCGCAGGCGCAGGCCGCGGCGCCGCCTCCCGACCTGGCCGCCGGGCGCCAGCACCGAGACGAAGCCAGGACGAGGACAACATCGGGCGAGGATGAACAGAGAGAGTCTCGGAGATCTGGCGGAGCTGGCGGATGTCTCGGGCGCCGCGGCCTTCTCCGAGTACGCCTGGGGGAGCGTTCCCTGGGACGCCCTGGCATGGATATCTATCCTCGTGCTGGTCCCGTCCGAAACGCGCTCACTCCGCCACCGAGCCGTAGTCCAGCAGCGCTGCGGCCAGGACTTCTCGCGCCGCGCCGCTCGCGGAGCGGATCTCGAGCACCGCGTCCGCGAGGGCACTCGCGGCCAGGCCCTCCTGGCGCTGCGGCGCGGGCGTGGTGCCCCAGACGACCACGCAGCCGCCGGCGTCCCCGGAGGCCAGCAGCCCCCCCGAGGCGCCCGCGCGGAGGGCACACACCCGCTCCCCGTGGGCCGCCAGGCTCTCGGCCACCCGCAGGGTCCGCAGGTCCACCACGGCGATGGAGCCGTCCGCGAGGCCGCACACCGCGTGCGAGGCGCCCTCGCCGCAGAACGCGGCGGGGCCCGGGGCGGCGCGCACCGCGGCGGGCAGCCGCACGACCAGCCGGCAGCACAGGGCGCCGGCGCCCTTCGCGTCCAGGATGCGGTCCACCCACGCCGAGGGCCCAGCCGCAGGCTCGCGCTCGCTGGCCATGCCGTGCCACGAGAAGACGCGCACGGCTCGGTCCGAGCACGCCGCCAGGAGGGCCGCGCTCCCGAACTCCCGCAGCCAGGAGGTGTACGTCAGGCCGAGGGGTGTGGGCGGCGCAGCCGCTGTCCCCTCGCGCTCGAGGGGGAAGGATCGCCAGAGGCTCAGCTCCCAGTCCCTTTCCGCGTGCAGCTGCAGAACCTCCACCGCGCCGCCCGCCGCGGCGAACGCGACCGTCCCAGCGTCGTGAAAGGCAGCCGCGGCCACATCGCCTAGTGCCAGATAGCGCGCAGCGCCTGCGGCACTCACGCTGACGCACGCGAGCCCGCGCGACTCGGCAGCGTACAAGAGCAGGCTCGGATTCAGCGGGTGGAACGCCACGGTGCTGACGGCGGTGGCCGCCGACAGTTCGCGGACGCAGTCGCCCCCATCCGTCCTCCAGACCCTGATGATGCCGTCGGCACCGCCAGAGGCGAGGTAGCGGTCGCCAGCGCTGAAGTCCAGTTGCGCCACAGCGCCCTGGTGCCCCGACAGCCGTGGCGGCGCGCCCACCACTGGCCCAGCGGTGGTGGCAGGCCCGCTTGCCGCGGGCGCGCGGCCGGCGCCGGTGAGCAGCAGCAGGATGCCGCCGGCCCGCGTGCCCACCGCGAGCAGCGCGGCAGACTCGCGCGAGAGCGCCAAGCTGCTGACAGCGTCGCTGCACTCCTGGAAGATGCAGTGGATGCCCGCGAACAGGACGCCTGGCCTGCTAGACAAGCGCGTCCCGCTACTCGCAGAGTAACTACTCGCAGATGGCCTGGATCCGCCGCGGGGGATCTACGATCCGCTACACAGAGGAAGACATGCCCTCTTCGGACGTTTGCGAGTAGGCACTCTGCGAGTCGTGGTGCAACGCGCTCGGTGGCCTGCGCCCGCTGGCGGCCGTGGAGGCGCTGGGCGGTCCCGCGCCCGCGCAGCCTCCAGAGTGCTGGGCCCGGGAGCCCGCGGCGGGGCCCCCGGCGCCCTCGTCGTCGGCACCCGCGCCCGGCCGCCGGCGCACTCCCCTCCGCAGCGCCACCGCGTGCCGCGCCCGCTGGTACGTGCCGCGCGGGTCCAGGCGGTCCTGCAGCACGCCGCGCCGGCGCGGGTCGCGCGCCGCGGCCTCCAGCAGCAGGGCTCTGCGCAGCTCGTAGCGCTCGCGCTGCACCCGCGGGTGGGCGGCGATCCACTCGCCCACCGCGGCCTCGTCGGGCCCCACGATAGGGAAACGAAGAATGACATAAACATAAAAACTCAGAGGTCCGCGCGGACTTTTCGGATCCGCGCTGGGGCCCCCTGGCGGCGCCTCCGGCGCCGCCCTCGCGCACTCCGCGCGCCATGGAGGGGCCCCAGCGCCGATCCGAGCAATCCGCGCGGACCTGCGAGTTGTTTATGTTCATGTCATGCTTCGTTTCCCTCTCGTGGGGCGGCGATCCACTCGCCCACCGAACCAGCCTCGAACCGATCGCTATCCCTGAGATGGGCAGGCCAAAGGCGATGCCAATCCTAGGGATAGGTCCTCGGAAACTGAGGGAATCCTTGAGATCGGTATCGAGGCAAGGTGATGCCAAACATAGGCATAGGGATGTATTTCAAGCTGGTAGCCACCGCGGCCTCGTCCGGCCCAGAGAGGCCCTCGAGGCGATCCGGGCGGCTCCCAACGGGAGGCTCCGCGGCCGCGGGCGGGCCCATGTGGCGGGCGCTCTCTGGCGGCAAGTGCCGCGGCCCCCAGGGGGGCCTCGTGAGCCACAGGGGCCGCGCGGTGCAGGAGCAGCATGGTGCAGGGGCAGGGGCAGGAGCGCAGGGATGACGAGGGAGGAGGGGGGAGGCCCGAGGATTGGAGAGGGGGAGGGCGAGGGGGAGGCGAGGGGGGAGGATCGACGAGGGGGAGGGCGAGGGAGAGAGAGGAGGGGGGAGGCCCGAAGATTGAGGAGGGGGAGGCCCGAGGATTGAAGAGGGGGAGGGCGAGGGGGGGGACCTGGGCAAGCCCTGCGCGCGCACCGCCAGTGCCACCCCGAGTACCTCAAGAGTTTTGGGGTGGCCAGGAGGTCTGGGGGGGGGGCCATTTTGAGGAGGATGAGGCGTAGGAGGGGGAAGGATGCAGTTGGAAACAAAGAGTGGGTGATGAGGAGTGGGAGGAAGTACTGAGAAACATAATGGAACAACAAAAGACGAGAACGGAGGAACGGAAGGAGCATGGAGGAGGATGCCGAGGAGGAACATAAAGCGATGATGCGAGAGGTAGATGAGACAGCGCGACGCTCCAAGGAGCAAACTCGACCACATCGGTTTCCGTCCCCGCAGCACGTGCGTTACGGGGGACACTTTCCGAGGGCGATGCCGCCCTCTCGCAGAGACCCCGGCCTGCCTTGGCGGCAGGCGCGCACCTCGGGGTCCAAGGAGCAAGAGGAGGAGGAGGAGGCGGAGGAGGAGGAGGAGGAGGAGGAGGAGGAGGAGGAGGAGGAGGAGGGGGAGGGGAGGGGGAGGGGGAGGGGGAGGGGGAGGAGGAGAAAAGGAGGAGGGAGGAGGAGGAGGAGGAGGAGAAAAAGGAGGAGGAGGAGGAAGAGGCGGGGGAGGACCACTCCCCCCTTTAGACTCGCCGCCCCTCGGCCGTCCACTCCCCGTGCCACCCCTTTCGATGTCCTGCGCGCGCCCGCCTTTCGCGAGGGCTCCGCGCTTCTCCTCGCGGGCCCTCGCCGAAGGAAACATGACAACATGCACGCGCCCGAGCGATGCCGAGCCGAAGGCACGGCATGGGGACTCTCTAAGCCTCCAAGAAGGCGCCCCGAAGACGCTCCCGCCCATCCCCGCCGGGCGAGATGCGCCGACGGCGCGAGGCCGACCCTTGTCGGTGTGCGTGTGGGGGGGGCCGGCTTTCGAAGGAAGCATCGACCGCGAAGTATCGACGACCTCGGCAGCGGGCCGACGTCATCGCGTGCTGCTCGGCCACCGGTGCCCCTCAGCACGACACAGGTGATCAGCGCAGAACCCGCACTCAAGCCCCTTAGGGAAGAATAATGGGGAAGGGCAAGGCGATGGAGACGCTAAAGGTAGGGGTGTGAGTTGTCGGACCCCGAGAAGGTACCCGTTCGAGCGGGGAGCCCCATCCGACAACACTTTGATCCGCGGGTCGAGAGCGCACCTCTTCCGGTCGAAGCTAAGCGGGCCGCGCACAGCTTGAATTAGCGAGAGGGAAGCAAAAGGAGGGGCCTCACATCAAGGCCAAACCCATCCGACAACACACACTCATAGTCCTCCTCGGAATTTCACCCCAGGAGTTCTGAGGGTCGTATAGGTGTGGGTGTTAGTTGTGAGCTCGTGAGCAAGTGGTTCAACGAGAGCCGACAGAAGCGGCGCTCTTTTGGCGGAGCTAGGCAGGAAAATTACAGTCGGACCTAGGACAGAACAACATGTTTCAAGAACATAAGACCCTCCGCTGGCCAAAACACACAGAGCGTCTAAGGGTCCCCTCCTCAGGGTGCACAAGAACCTCCAACTAACACCAATGACACGAGGGTACCCTCACCGCGCTGATCTCGATCTTATACCTCGGCCTGACGTTGAAGCAACAATCGCGGCATAAACATTACGGTTCGAAGGTCTGCGCTGATTTCTTGGATCGGCACTGGGGCCCCCTCTGGCGGCTCCTCGGGCGCCACCCCTTCGCGCGCTTCTCGCGGAGCTCCGAACATGTATGTGCGTGCCTTTTCTTTGATACGCACGGATGCACACACACACACACACACACACACGCACACACAGCACACACACACACAACACACAACACAACACACAACACAACACACACAACACACACAACATACGCAACACACAATACACACACAACACAACACAACACACACGCACACAACACGCAACACACACAGACGATGCACACCACACTCAAGACATAACCCACAACACACAACACACGCAACACACAACACACACACACACACACCACACAGCACACACACACATAACGACACACGCACGCACGCACGCACGAACGCACGCACGCACGCACACACCACACACACACACACGCACGCACGCACGCACGCACGCACGCACACACACAAGCAAGCATGCACGCACGCCCACAGACCACAGACCACAGACCACACAGACCGCACACACCACACAACCACACAACCACACACAACACACACGCACGCACAAGCTGACGCTGACGCACACGCACCCTCGCACACACGCGCGCACGCGCGCACACGCGCACGCGCGCACGAGCACGCGCGCACGCGCGCACACGCGCACACGCGCACGCGCGCACGCGCGCACGAGCGCACGCGCGCACGAGCGCACGCGCGCACGCGCGCACGCCCGCACGCGCGCACGCGCGCACGCGCGCACGCGCACACACGCGCACGCGCGCACGCGCGCACGCCCGTACACGCGCACGCGCGCATGAGCGCACGCGCGCACGCGCGCACGCGTGTATACGCGCACACGCGCACACGCGCACACAGGCACACAGGCAGACAGGCAGACAGGCAGACAGGCAGACAACACACGCGCACACACATACACACGCAGGCACACACGCAGAGAGAGAGAGAGAGAGAGACAGACAGACAGGGACAGACAGTGACAGACAGACAGACAGACAGACAGACAGACAGACAGACAGACAGACAGACAGACAGACAGACAGACAGACAGGCAGACAGACAGACAGACAGACAGACAGACAGACAGACAGACAGACAGACTCACACACGCGCACACACACACACACACACGTTGTGACAGCACGCGTCCCGAGGATCCATCGAAGAACATGGTGAGGAGGGGGACCATGCCGAGCTGCGGCGTCAACCGCGCGAGGTGCAGCGACGACGCCAGCGCGGCGCTGATGACCGTCAGCTCGTCGGTGGCATCCTGCCGTGGGTAGGACGGGAACGATGTCATGATGCCGGTGGCTCAAGGTACATTTCATGAGTTCTGGAGTGTATAACGGCCCTCGTTTCTGCAGCCCGTGCGGAGGAACATGCGAGCGCGCCAGGGGCTGCGCCAGAGGCGCCGCCGGGACGCCCAGCGCAGATCCAAGAACTCCGCGCGGAGCGCCATAAGTTTATTGTAATGCAATTTTTTCCTTCTTCGAAATCGAGAATCGGCCTCTTGCAACGTATCATTACCATGGCCTCGTGCTCCTCTTGGTAAGGGGCACGAGGGGTGCGCCCTCGGTGCCCTGCCACTCTGCCTCTGCCTTCGCACTGCCCGACGCGACGACGCGGGGCTCGCACCTGCCGGCGTGATCACCCCTGCAGCCGGCACTTCCGGGATGGGCACGGACAAAGCAGGGGCACGATGCCCGACAGCACACGGTGTCCCAAACGGACAGCGGCCGCTGTCGGGCAGCCGACGTCTTTGTCACGTGGGCAGCGCCCGCTGCGACGCCGACGACGAGTCCTGTTCGGGATTGGCAAGAGCCGATGTCGGTCTTCGTACCCATTTTTTCCGTAACCGATCCGATCGCACCGATGCAGGAATCCGTCCCTGGAAAACTGGAGGGGTACATCGAACAAGAGCACGGCCTGTCCAAATGCCAACCCAAGTGCAACTCCATCGAGCCATGCTTCACGGTCTCCGTTCGGACGTTTACGGCTCGAGATGCTCATTTGAGGCCAGGTCTACGGCGCCTGCTCGAGGGTAACTGGGACTGGTTCGGCGGCGCGAGTATCTCTCGGACCGAACTTGCTAAATTCCTCCTCCCTCCCTCCTCCTCCTCCCTCCTCCTCCTCCTCCTCCTCCTCCTCCTCCTCCTCCTCCTCCTCCTCCTCCTCCTCCGCCTCGAGCTTCCTGGGACAATTGGGGGGGGCTGGGCGCCCCCCCCCGGGGGCGGGTCTGCGGGCCCGGGCGCGTCTGGAACCGCGCCTGTGCGGTGCGGGCGGCCCAGCCCGGGGTCGTGTTTTTTGTGCTGCCGGGTCCGTCCAGTCCTGGGCATACAATGCGGGCGCGGCCGCAAGACACCCAAACCGGGGTCGTGTTTTTTTGTGCTGCTGGGTCCGTCCAGTCCCGGGCATACAATGCGGGCGCGGCCGCGAGACACCCTCGCAAAGAGGCCCAACCCCGGGGAAACCGCGCGCGAGGTGCACCCCGAGGGGAAGCCCAGAGCACCCTGAACACACCAGCTCCTTCAGCGGCTGCGGGGAGACACCGCGCAGCTCACGGAGCGAAGAGACCCAGGATGCCCTGACGAAAATCATATGGTTTCTTGAAGCGCACCCCCACTGTATACCCAGGAACGCAGCGGCTCAAACACAGAGAACTTTCGCCGTGTTGACCTTTCGCAAACATCGGTTTCGGGACTTGGGGCCGTCAAACCTACCCGGGAACCAAAACACTGGTCCCTCGCCTCGAGAGGTCCACTGGCCGCGGCCATGTCTCAAACAAATCGATCCGCTGGATTCTGGATGTGCCAGAACACGAATGTGGGCGGACGGGCAAGGTCAACCTGGTGTGTGGTTTGCCCCAGTGCAGAAAGGGAGTCTTTTGAGGGCCCCGGGGTTCCCAAGGGGTTTTTGGACGCGTCCAGACGAATCCTCTGTAGACCCGACGGACGAAAAACGCTCGAACACCTCGAGCTTGGAACCTCGAGGATCGAGGAGCAGGAGAAAGAGAAGGCGGAGGAGGAAGAGGAAGAGGAGAAGGAGGAGGAAGAGGGGGAGGAGGAGGAGCGTGAGGCGGAGGAGGGGGATGATGCGCGCGCATCACCGCGGGCGTTCGGCCGCGCTGGCGCCCGAGCGCGCCCCTCGCACTCGGGCACGGGCCAGGATGACCCGCTCATGCCGCCGCCAAACACCCTGATATATCACCATTTGTTCCGCAGGCGCCCCTCTGGGGAGGACTGCACGGGAACCCATCGAGTCGCATTCCGTGACAGGCGCACCCACCGCTCGGGAACTGTCGCGAAGCACGCCAGGGCAGTTTGCGAGTTGGCCGGCCGATCGCCCGACAGTCACGCGCCCAAAGTAAGGGCTCCACCACAAGAGACCTTCCACGAGAAACCCAACCCTGAGACCCCAGGACGCTTCAAACAGCAAAACCATCGAAACCCAAGGCACCTTGGAGGCAAGCAAGGTGCTTCTTGGCATGGGCCTCCACTGTACGAGGAACGAGGGGTAGCAACTGAAACCGGGAGATGATCAGAGACTTACCTGCGGGGTTGAATCGCCCCGACCCTGGGGCAATCGCCAGCCTGCGGAAAACTGAACTCCGAATTCAGTCGCCGCAAAGCTGGCGGACGCGACAGCATGGAAACGATTGAACTCCAGAGCGAAATGATTCCCACGCTGGGCGCACCAGCCCAAGAATGGCTTGACTCGGAGTTAAGAAGCCGCGGCGCTGGGTTGGGTGCTGCGACGACTGAACGGGAAAGAAATGAAGGAAAAGCACAACGGTGCGCACGGGGGAAGCGCCACAACGCCGAAGCAACATCCAGTAGTTGCAATCAATGGTAGTATGTGCGCTACAAATGTCGCCAACATGCACAAATCTCGATCGAAAACAGCAGCGGGTGGCGTCGGTGATCAAGGGTACACATTGGTGTTGATGGTGGATTTCTACAATATGCTACCCATCGTGGGCCCAACACGCACACAGGTCTCTTGCAATCTATATGGTGCAATCTACGTGATGCAACGCATATGGTGCAATCTACGTGTGCAATCATCGTGGTGCAACGTATGTGGCGCAATCCGTGTCATGCTCTTTACGTGGTACAATATACGTGATGCAATTCACTTTGACTGTCTTGCAACTGTCCTCTCCACGGCTCGTGCAAACATCCCACCCTCCCACCCGCAACTTGGTCGCAAGACATCTTAAGACCGTGACGGTAGGTACCACATGGCAGTTGGCAGCGACACCGACGCCGACGACGACACCGACAACGACGACGACGACACCGACGCCGACGACGACTACGACGACACCGACCACGACTCCGACGACTTCGACGACGACGACAACGACGACGACGACAACAACGAAGACGACGACGCCGACGCCGACGATGACGACGCCGACGACGACGCAGGCGACGACGACGACAACGACGACGACGACGACGCTGGCGACGACGACGACAACGACGAGGACGACGCCGACGACCACGACGAACACGCCGACGATAACGACGACGACGTCGCCAACGAAGACACCGACGACGACGACGACGACAAGGAAACACAGAGGACGACGACGGCGACAACGACAACGACGAGGAGGGAGGGCGGCGACGACGCGAACGACGAAGGAGGGAGGACGGCGACGCCGACGACGACAACGACGAGGGAGGAGGGAAGGCGACGACGACGACGACGACGACGACGACGGCGACGAAATAGGAGGAACGACGACGAGACGCCGACGACGGACGACGACGACGACGACGAGGAAGAAAAAAGGGCGACCACGGCGACAGCGACGACGGAAACGACGACGACGCCAAAGAGGACGACGACGACGACGACGAGGAAACACAGAGGACGACGACGACGACGACGACGAGGAATGACGGAGGACGGCGACGACGACGACGACGCAACAGCGCACGCGCACGCTTCTTTTGTTGAGAATTCTTGAAAATCCACGTTGCGAAACCCTGTGTGTTATATGTTTTTTGATGTTCGATGTTGAAATCCGTCCGAAACCGACGGTCTTTGAAAGATTTCGGCATGCGCGCGCGACGACGCGCGCGCGTGCACTTCGTCGTCTGCTTTTGCAAAAAATTCTTGCGACGGCACGCGCGCAAGGGTGTTCGAGCGATTCCGACATGCGCGCGCGAAGCCCGTTTGGTAGCATTTTCTGAAAATGTTGAAAAACAAACCTGAGGTTTTCGTGAAAAAATCGCCAAACAAACGCGCGTGAGTTTTAGGAACTCCGCATTGCGAAGCCCAGTGTTTCGTTTGTTCTTCGGAGAACTCGATTGACACCTTTGCGAAGACGACGGTTTTTGAAGGATTCCGGCATGCGCGCGCGGCGACGCGCGCGTGTGCACTTCGTCTTACAAACTTATGACTTTTGATAAACGAGCGCGCGCATAATTTTTGTTGCAGACGATGGCAGGGGTGGGCGAGACGGCCCCCCCTGGGATATTGAAAACTCATATCTCGGATGGGCGATGGGGAAGAATCATACGGAAATGGCAATACGAAAAAGGAAACCGTTAAGTCCGGGGGGGAGGGTGGTAGATCCTACTACTTTTTAGAAAAGAACATTAAACCTTGTTCGCATTGAGTTGTCCACTCCGCCGCTCGCGCAAACATCCCACCCGCCCACCCGCAACTTGGTTTGCAAACTTCATGTGGTGGCGATCGCGATGGGTGCTCGGCGCTGGCAGGTGCATCTCTGCGGCCGCGCCAGCCCGAGCATGCGCGCGCGCAGCGGCCAGGTGGTTTGGCGCGACCGACGCGGCCGCGGTAGTGCTGACTGCTCGGCACATCCCTTCGGGCACTTGAGTGCGGGTCGGCGACTTGGGCGGGCACGGTGTCATGCAACGTCGACGACTGTTGTAGGCACGATGGTGATAAGAATAGCGACGTTGGTGACGACGCTGACAGCCACTTCGGCTCGGCCAGTGGCGGCGCCGATGCCAATCACGCCGACGACGATGACGGCATCTTCGGGACGGCGATGAAGGTTTTGGACGGAATTCGAAATGCGCGCGCGGCAGACGCGAGTGAGTGGCCCCATTCACGGATCGTGCCACCCCAGCACGCGCGCAAAGCCGTTCGAACGTTTTCGGCGTGGGCGCGCGCGAAGCCCGCGTGGTAGCATGTTACGAACACCTTTAAAAACTCACAGTGTTCTGAAGAATTGGCGAGAATGCGCGCGCCCGCTTCTGTTGAGCACCCGTATTGCCAGACCTTGTGGTTGCATGTTTTTTTGACGTTCGATTTTCGTCAGAAACCGACGGTCTTTTAAAGGTTTTGACATGCGCGTGCGACGACGCGCGCGCGTGAACTTCGTCTCCTGCTTTTGCAAAAAGAGTTCTCGCGACTGCACGAACGCAACGGCGTTCAAACGATTTCGACATGCCCGCGCGAAGTCCGGTTGGTAGCATGTCCTGAAAACGTCGAGACAACTTATGGTTGTCTCGAGAATTCGTAAAGGCGTGCGCATGTTTTTTTTTTGTTTGACAATCCGCGTTGCGGAACCCTGCGTTTGTAAAAGCTTCTGTGGGCACACGGCTTCGACATCCTGCCATCACTAAAATTGCCTGAAGGTTTTCGGCATGCGCGCGCGACGACGCGCGCGCGTGTACACTTCGTCCCATCTTTGGCAAGGGATTCTTGGAATCTGCTAACTTTTGATAAACGAGCGTCCGCGCGTGAATTTTTTGGCAGGAGGCCGCAGCGTCGCTTGCCACGTCTGCGATCCTGACCGCATAGCCCTCCGAAGTCAGAAGCGCCACTGCGCGACTCGCAGCCGCCGATTCCTCGCCGACGCATCGGGCGGGCCCCTCGGGCGCCAAAAATCGGGATTGGCCCGCTGCGAGTGTAGCAGGCCTCGCGCCCGCCGAGCCGCCCAAGCAGCCCCCGCCCTGGAGCGGCCCTGGGAGGCCTTTCGGCAGCCAGGCCGATGAGCGCCGCCCTCCCAGCATCTTACGGGCACACGGGGCTGGCCGCGGCCTGGGCCGAGGCAACGCAGTCACTGGCGCATGCCTCGCGCGCGCGTGCGCATGCGCGCGCAGGCGCGGCAGCGCAATTTACCGGAAAGTGCGCCCAGCCAAGCCTTCGCGCACGCGCGCGCCACGCAGGCCAGGAGCGGGCCCCCGCCGCGTCGCGAAGTTCTCCGCCGCGCCGCGCCTCTCCTAGGCACGACGGCGCGATGGCAGCCTCGGAGGGGGTTGGGCATCCGCCCTCTCATTGTTTCTGCCGTGCGCGCGCGCGTAGATCAGCTCTGGCTGGCACGTGGGCAGCGCGAGGTCAAACGCCATCTTCCGCGCCATGGCGTGGATGATGGGCGACTTCGACCTCCCCTTCTCGAGCGCTCCCAAGGCCGCCTTCGAGTCCGACCTGGCGACCATGGCGAACGCAGAGCCCCTCCAGTGGCGCTCCCAGATCCTCAGCTTGACGAGCAGCGCCGGCGACTCCTACGCTGCCGGCCCGCGGCAATTCCCGATGTCGAGCCCGAACCTGTTGGAATCGCCCTGGCCCCGCGCGCCCGATAGGTACTCCTGCGCGACACCGTCGAAAATGATGAAGGCCCAGCAGCCCCACTGCGACGCGCCCTCGTGCATCCTAACTCCGGGCGGCCCGACGCGCTCCACCGCCAGGACTCCTCGTCAGGATGTCGCCCTTTGCTCGGAGGAGCGCGATCAACCGCTTCAACGCCGGCCTCCGGCCTTATCCATCAGATGCCGACCCGCGCCCGCGGCTGTCCGCTTCCGCGCAGCCGACGCCTGGGGGCGCGGCGTTCGGCCAAGCTCGCGGCTTCGGCGCACGCCGCCCACAAAGGGGCAACATGCGACCAAGGGCTGGCGACGCGCCAGCCGCCCAGCCAGCCTTGCCTGCCTGCTGCTGCGCAAGCTCGAAGCGGCGCTGCGTCTTATCGAGGGCGTCGACGGCGATCTCGACCGCGGCCCCCGCGAGCGACGGCGGGATGGTTATCGCCGCCGCTGTCGAACTGCGCAAGTTGATGGCTTCCCCCGCCCACTTCGCGACCTTTCCGAAGAACCCCTTCTTCCGAGAGATTCGCAGTCCAAGCGCCAACTACCGCCATGATAAGACAGCGGCTCTTCTCCTCGCTGCCCCCGGGGTGCCGCGCACCACTGTTGCTGGGTCGTCGACGTAGGTTTGCGTGTGCAGCTCTTTCTCGTCGAACATGCCCTGGCCGCTCCGGCCGAGGAACGCGGCCGCTCGGCCCCGCGGCAATGGGCAGGCGGGTCCGCCGCAGAGCACCGTGCGATAGCCGACCACGCCGAGGGCGTGCAAGGCGTCCTCGAAGTTGGCGATCATGGCGAAGCACTCCGTGCTCTCGCCTGCATCCCTCGCCCAATGCCCGCGCGTCGTCCGCCCGGTCGCCCAGCCGCGGGAGGGCGACCATGTCGGGCAAATCGACCATCTCGCTGTACCCGCTGCGCCTCAGGTCGAATACGTTGCGCACCTCGAGCGCGCCATTGTCGCGCGTCTTCGCGACGCGAGCCAGTTTCGACGCGAGCGCGCCGCCGCAGGCCGCGAGCACGCGGGGCCAGGCCTCGCACCAGACAGCGAACCCCGTTGCGATCAGGCGGTCGACCTCGGCCCCCGACAGCTCCGCCTCCAGAGTCGCCGACGCGTAGATGTCGTCTGGCTCCACCTGCGTCACGCGAGCTGCCACCTATTCGGTCGCCGCGGCAGCGCCCGCCTTCGCGGTCGCCCCCGGGAAGATGCCACATTTCGTGATGCGCCATGCGCTTGGCCGCGCCCGCGAGGTGCCCGAACCGCAGCCAGCCCGCCAGGTCTCTGTCTGGATTCGGCACTGCCTCCACGCACGCGCTGACGAGATCGACATTCCAGACGCCCCCGATGCGAGGGTCTCTGGAAACATGGGCGCCGCCCAACACCCCGACCAACTCCTTTCCCTAGCTCTGGACGTTGGCCACCGGCCAGTCGCGAACGTGCCCCGACGCGCCGACGTCTGTGCCCAGCAGGTTCACTACCAGGGCCTGGACCAGCTCGTCCTCAACAACGCCGCGGACCATCATCGCCGACGTCCGAGCCGCCTGGGGCCGCTTCCGGACCGCTTTCCACGGCGACCGCGCGCTCCCGATGCAGGCGGCATTCTCCTGGGCCCGTGGCTCTCTCGCGGACAGCTCGACGGCCCGGGCCGCCGCGGCTGCCCGCCGCTCAGGCGCGCGCGTGGCCACGCCGGCCCAGATCAGCATTCCAGCTCGCACCACCTGGCACGGCGTTTCGGGCTGGGCGCCATGGCTTCGACCGCCGACGCAGGCTCCGCGATGGCCGTCGCCCGGGCCACTCTCGGCTCGCCAGTGCGTTCCCAGACATCCTCCGGACGCGCGGGTGATCTTCATGATGCCCTCCTCGTTCTCCTCGTGGCCGCTGCAATCTCCTGGTGGAGAGCTCGCCGATAGCACGTCGACATCCGCCGGTCGGTTGTCGGCCCACGCGCGCGCGCCAGGACTTTGTCCAATTTGTGTCCTTTTCCCTCCCTGTTCCCTCCATCTCCCTCCCGCTTCCTTCTGTTTCCCTTTCTATTCCTTCAGGGTGATTTTCCCTTTCGCTTCCTGCCGCGTCCTTCACTCTTCCTTCCGCGTCCCGTGTTCCTCCCTGTTCCCTCTCGTGCCCTTTCCACTTCCTTTGTCCTTTTCCCTCCCTTGTCCTTCGGTGTCCTGTTTCCCCTCGTTACCTTATTTTTCCCTTTCGTTTCCTTCCGTGTCCCATTCTTGTCCCTCACGTTTCCTTTCATTCCCCTTCCTGTTCCGTCTCGTTTCCTTCCGTTCCCCTTCCTTTGCCCTCTCGTTTCCGTCCGTGCCCCTCGGTGTTCCTTCCGTCCCCCTTCCTTTTTCCCTCTCGTTTCCATCCGTGTCCCTTCCTTGCCCTTCTCGTTTCTTTCCGTTCTCCTTCCGTGCTACATGCCCGTTCGTTTCCTTATGTTTCCCTTGCTTGTCCGTCGCGTTTCCTTATGTTTCCTTTTATGTTTCCACCTCGTGTCCCTCCGATGTCCTTCGTTTTCCTTGACTCCCCGTTCTTTCCTATCTCGTTCCCTTCCGTTTCCCTTCCTTCTCGCTCTCGTTTCCTTCCGCTCCCCTCACTGTTCCTTGTCGTGTCCTCTCGTTTCTCTCCTTGTTCCTTGTGTGTCCCTTTCCGTGTCGCGTTCTTCCGCCCGTCTTTCCGTCTGCTTCCTTTTCCCCCCGCAGAGTGAAGGGCAAGGGCGGCCTCGGGAAGGACTTCACTCTGGGCTTAGCGATTTGGGGGGCCAGGGGGAACACCAACAGTATCTTCACTGAACTGCAGAGGTAAAGTCGTGTTGAGGCTGATAACAATAGAAGACATGTAATAGATTCAACTCCAGAGTTAAGTCATACTTACCTCGCTGGCTTGAGTGATTTTCAAGGGAGAGGAGAGCGGCGCGGCATCCCCACGCTGGCTTCCGCCAACCACCGCGCGGCCCAAGGCTGTGTGCAGCACTGCCGGCATGTGAGCACGCTGCCGGAGAGCACGCAAGAGGCGGGACGCGGAACGGAGCCCAGAGACTCCTGTAGCGAAGTCACGCTCCTCCTCCTCCTCCTCCTCCTCCTCCTCCTCCTCCTCCTCCTCCTCCTCCTCCTCCTCCTCCTAGGTGCCTCCTAGGCCTCCTAGATGGGGTCCGAGTAGATGGGGTCGGAAGGATCTCGCCGCATCGGCGATGCATCGGCGATACATCGACCATGCACTGGCGACGTCGGCGATGCATCGGCGACGTCGGCGTGGAGAAAATTGGGCCCCACATCGAGCCGCTTCGCCGATGCACCGCCGATGCATCGCCGAACCAGCCGCGGTGCGGCGCGATCCTCCGACCCCATCTGCTCCGACCCCCCAGCTAGGAGGCCTAGATCCTCCCCTCCCCCTCTTCCCTCGCCTCCCTCTTGCGAAGGCGGTGATCCTGACAGCTCCTCCCCCTCCCCTCCCCCTCCTCCCCCTCCGCCTCCTCCTCCTCCTGCCCTGCTCTCCTCTCCTCCTCCTCCCTCCTGTCGCTCCTCCTCCCTCCTCCTCCTCCTCCTCCTCCTCCTCCTCCGCTCCTCCTCCTCCTCCTCCTCCTCTCCTCCTCCTCCTCCTCCCCTCCTCCGCCTCCTCCTCCTCCTCCTCCTCCTCCTCCTCCTCCTCCTCTCCTCCTCCTCCTCCTCCTCCTCCTCCTCCTCCCCTCTCCTCCTCCTCCTCCTCCTCCTCCTCCTCCTCCTCCTCCTCCTCCCCTTCCTCACCTTCCGCCCCTTCGTCCTCGTCCTCGCCCGCCCTCCCGCTCCAAGGCGAGCAGGGGGCCCCCCGGCCGCCCGGGGGGGAGGGGGGCTCCAGGGGCACCGCCCGCTTGGCCGGCGGCTCGGCCCGGCCGTGCCTCCCGGCGCCCTCGAGCTCCTCGGGGGGGAGCAGGAGGAGGAGGAGGAGGAGGAGGAGGAGGAGGAGGAGGAGGAGGAGGAGGAGGAGGACAAAATCGAATCGACAAAGTCGGATCGGCGATCGAATCGAATCGACAAAGTCGGATCGACAGAATCGAATCGACAAAGGAGGAGGAGGAGGAGGAGGAGGAGGAGGAGGAGATGGAGGGGGAGCAGGAGGACAGGAGGGCCCAGAGTCGAGAAGTTTCAGAAGCAGGAGGGCCTGTCCCCCTACAGGGGGATTTTAGACGAAAAATAAATGATCCCAGTGCGACCCTACCTAGGAGTTGGACCCCCTAGGAAAGCAGCATTAGTAGTAACAGTAAAACTAAGCTAAAGCTAAGCTAAATCTGAGGTAAAGCTAAGCTAAAACTAAGATAAAGCTAAGATAAAGCTAAGCTAACGCTAAGCTAAAGCTGAGCTGAATCTAAGCTGAAGCTAAATTAAAGCTAATATAAAGCTAAGTTAAAGCTAAGCTAAAGCTAAGCTAAAGCTAGGTTAAAGCTAAGCTAAAGCTAAGCTAAAGCTAAGGTACAGCTAGTATAAAACTAAGGTAAAGCTAAGCTAAAGCTAAGCTAAATATAAGCTACATCTAAAGCTAACGTTAAGCTAAAGCTAAGCTAAAGCTAAGCTAACACTAAGCTAAAGCTAAGCTGTAACTAAGCTAAAGCTAAGCTAACTCTAAGCTAAATCTAAGCTAAAGCTAAGCTAAAGCTAAGCTAAAGCTAAGCTAAAGCTAAGCTAAAGCTAAAGCTCCCAGGGGACTGGGGGAACCGCTCCCGGTGGACTGGGGGAACCGCCCGGGGCGCTTTACACTGCCCGGCCCCTTTAAGCTAAGAGAGTAAGAACCCTTCTAGGCAGAGCCTACGTAGTGAAAAATAGTCCCGGATCCCAGGATCGAATCGAGAAGTTTGAGTCGGGTCGGTCCCCCTACAGGGGGATTTTGGACGAAAGATAATAAATACTGGACAAAAATCATCCAAAAGGGTCAATCAATGCTCAACAAATCGCCCCCAGACTATTTCTTGACTATTGTTTGAATATTCCTCCTGTAGAGGGACGGGCCCGACTTAACGATAAGTCGGATCGGCGATCGGCACACATCGGATCGGAGGGGAAATCGGCGGCCGAGTCGGGAGAGGTCGCATCGGCGGAGAGCAGCAGGCCAAAAGGCATCCAATAGGGAATCGGAACCCGAATCGGAATCCCAAGTCGAATGGAATCGGATTCGGAAGCCATGGAAGTCGAATCGAAACGAATCGAAGGAATCGAAACGAGCCCCTGGGACGAGGGGGAGATCACTGACCCTGGACGGAGAGACGACTGCACAAGCATACAGCCATCGTGCTACAGCAAGGGAGGCCGAATCGGACTAGTCCTTCAGGGCGGGAGTGGTTTGCAGAGGTTTCTCGTCCACCCTCCTGTTTCCCCTTCGGGGAGGGATTTATGAAGGGGCCCCAGGACACACAAAGAAATACACACAAATAAAGATATCCCGCATATTCTCCCATATCTTCTTAGTTCTTGTCTTCCCCCCCACTTCCCATAGTTTCCCATATTTTCCTGGGAATCGACGATTCATTGTGTCTGTGTGTTTTTTCCCCTCCTGAATTTACCCCTCCCCCTACCCCCTCCCCCTTGGTCTGGAAGAGCCCTTTCGCGAGGCGTTGGAACGTAAGAGAACCCCAGAAAGGGCCTCGAGGGGTGCCCAGGACGGCCCGAGAGGCCCCCCAAAATGCCCCCAGGAGGCTCCCAAGGCACCCCCCAGAGGCCACAAGAGACCCCCCAGAGGCACCCCAGATGCCCCGAGGGGACCTCGGCGAGAAGGCCAACACAGCGGATGCTAAGGTTTGACTGCACTTTGGCCTCCTGGGGGCGGGACCTTGTTGAGGAGCCCCCCCTGCGTTGGCCGATCTCCTCCAAGATGGCCCCCGCAGCTTCAAGGGGCTATATAGCAGCAAGATGCCAGAACTAGCCATGGCTGCTAGAATGAAACAGGGCTGGACCTCAACGTTGTTGTTCGTTTTGTTTTCGTTTTGTGTTTCGTTCTGCTCGACCTGGTTTCCTGTACCTGCCTGCAAGAACAACACAACACACAACAGCCAAAGTCCAGCAACACGGCGCTTATTTGGGTGACCCAAAAGGGGGTCCAGCTGCAAAAGGGTGGTGCAATCTGTGTGGGGCAATTGTCTTGCAAATGTGCTGCGTTGGAGAACTGTGTGGCATTGGAATGCAACTCGTGCCCTGCACGCGAAGACGCAGCAACACAGCTGCGCCCCGGGATGCACTGCACGCCCCAAAGGTACTGCAACCCCACGAGTCTATTGCACCACACCTGCTGCACCACCCCCGTGTCGCTGGACCTCCTTTTGGGGTCCACCCGAGTTTGGGTCCAGCCCTGGCACGACACACGAGATCGGGGCGCGCCCCCAGGACCACGGCGGCGCCCGCAGCTCGAGGCGCGAGGCGGCCGAGGGGGGGCCGCCGCCCAGACTCGCGGACCTCGAGGCGCGAGCGAGGACCTCCTCTTGGGGTCCACCCGAGTTTGGGCCCAGCCCTGGCACGGCACGCGATCGCGGCGCGCCGCCGGGACCACGGCGGCGCCCGCAGCCCGAGGCGCGAGGCGGCCGCAGAGGGGCCGCCGCCCGGACGGGCGGGCCTCGAGGCGCGAGAGGCCGCGGGCAGGCAGACTGCGCGACGGGGGGGGCGCACGGCCCGCCGCCGACGGGGGCGCGCCGCGCTTTGGCCCGTGGGCGGCGGCGAGGGGGGGACGAGATAGCGAGGAAGGGGGAGATCCCCCTCGACGGAGGCTCCCAGGAGCGCTCCGAGAGGCCCCCCCCTCGCGGCGCCCAGGAGGCCCCTCTAGAGGCCCCCCCAAAAGGGGTTCCCAGGCAGGCTCCCAAGGGACCCCCGAGAGACCCCTGAGAGACTTTTCCGAGGCACCGAGCACGATCCAAGAGACCCCAGGACCGCCGAGAGGCTCCCAAGACGCCCCAAGAGGGCAAAAGCGAGGAGGGGTGACCCCTCGCGTCAGGCAGAGGCCACGCCGGCGCGAACGCCACCACCGCCACCACCAGAACCACCACCTCCACCAGCAGGGGACCCGCGGGTGCCCCAAGACGGCCTGGGGAGGAGGTGCCCAGAAGGCAGCCCCCCAAGAGGCCCCCCAATATGCCCCCAAGAAGCTCCCAAGAGAACCCGAACAGACCCCAAGAGGCCTCCCAGAGGAATCAGAAGCGCCCCAAGAGGCCTCGGCGAGAAGACTAAGATTTGGCCATCAATTTGGCCTCTTGGGGAAAGCCCTGATGAAAGAGCCCATCTCCTTTGATCGATCTCCTCCAAGATGACCCCAAGATGGCCCCCGAGGCTCTCAAGGGTTCCCCAAGACGGCCCCGAGAGGTGTCCAGGAGGCCCCAAGAGGCTCCCCAGAGACCCCCAACAGGCCCCCAGAGACTCCCCAGAGGCAGCCAAGACGCCCCAAGAGGCCCCCAGGACTGCTAAGAGACCCCAAAGAGGACTCCAAGAAGCTCTCGGAAGAAGTCCGAAGCGCCCCCCAGAGGCATCTCAGAGGCTTCTGGCTATTCTGCTGCTCGCACTCCTCCAGCTCCTCCTCTTCAACCTCCTCCTGCTCCTCCTCCTCCTCCTCCTGATTATCGTTTTGGCTTGGTGCATCGTTCTCGGCACACCTTGTCGTCATCCAGAGTCTCCAGAGTCTCCATCCTCTCCCTCATTGACTACCTACCAGACCACCCCAACCCAACCCAAAGACCCGAATTTCGGGTGGGGGGGGGTAAGGGTTCCATAGGTGTTTTGTCGATGTTTCCCGACCCCCCCCACTGGAAATCGAGGGTAAATCTGAGCCTTCGGGTTGGGTTGGGGTGGTTTGGTGGGTGGTGACTCTTTACGTACGACGTCTTACCCAGTCCTTTGATCCCACTGCATGCTCCTCCACATCCCTGATCCGGGCAACTCGTCATGGCATGGCTCCTGGATCGGCTGCCAGGCTTTCACGAAGCGCCTGGGATTGGGGGCGACTGGACTCTCTGGCCCCGGCGAGCCCCGGCCACGAACAGGTTTCACGGCCCAGAGTTCGAAACGCTGCCAGAAGGAACCTTCAACAAGGAACGACGCCCCTTCCTCTCACAAAATAAACTTCGATTCTTCATAGGCAGCCTCGATCATACCCCAGATACGCTATGAAGCAAGTAAGGCACTCTGAGCCCCTTTCCCAACGAAAGGGTTCCTGATTTTGCGACCCGACTGTAGATTTCAAGAGCGGCCGCAAACCAGAGCCCCTCCTGAGCCCAAGGTGATCCTCATCTCAACACCTTGGCTGTACTATGCGAATGAGTGCGGCCGTTGTCGCCTGCCCCAGAAGGAAGCTCGCCATCGCTCGGATGTCCATTGCCTGTGCATGTTTCGGTGTCATGCGCGTGTGTGTTCGCAATGTGTACAAGCATGCTCCTCGACGGTCCTCGCCGACAAAAAAAAATGCACACGCACGGGCGGTGCCAAGGAAGGGGGGGAGGGAGGGATGAGAACAAGGGGAGGCGAGGAGGGGAGGCGAGGAGGGGAGGCGAGATGGGGAGGTGCGGGGGAGGAGAGGCGAGAGGGGAGGAGGGAGGGGGGAGGCGAGAAAGGGGAGGGCGAGAGAGGGAGGCGCAGCGGGCGGGCGAGAGAAGAACGGGCACGCGCACGAGCAAGGGGAGGTGGAGTAGGATGACGAGGAGTTCGAGGAGTGAGCTGAGGACGCCAAGCAGGAGGCCGAGGAGGATGCCAACCATATTCTTCGTCGGCCGGAAACAGTGGATAGAAGCATGAAGTAGGAAAGCGTTGGAAGCAGATTGGGGTTCCGCCCGCCCCCCAGAGGAGGGAAGAGGGAACGCCGTTCGGCTCTTGAAGTGGGACGGCGGCCAACAGAGATTGGGTTCTGGGTACTTGAAAACACTTACTACCAAAGACCGACAGGTAAGATGGAATAGGCACTGAGGCGGGAGCTCGACGGACATGATACTGATGCATGGCAGCAGAAGCAGGATGAGCATCAGTGGACGATAAGAATGGGCGCGACCATCAACTACGATAGTAATTCCTCACGGATGCAGCAACATTTTGGAAGGTGTCCCTCAGTGGTAACGAGTAGAAGCGCGAAGCTTGTTGCTGCAACTGGTGACATAGAGAGACCGTGGCAGTTCGATCCCCCCTCAACACTCATAGAGACACCCTGGCAGCTCAGAACCATCACAAACAAGCAAATCAACGACACAGGAACCAATCCCAACACACGACAAATGTGTTTGCTATGTTGCGTTCCCCTAAAAAATGCTTGGAACACTCCCCACGGCTTCCTCACACATACTGCTAGTATGCTGGTATGTGGCCCACATCGGCACTGATGTCGTCGAACCCATGTTTGCTCCGAATCCACACGTTTTTTCTGCACCGGACGCAGGCGGACTCGGCTCCATACAAGCCCCCGCATGACCGAGTCATATAGCACACAAAGCAGCACCGCAACTGCAACGCAACACACCGACGCGCAGTACCAGCTGAACAACCAACAAACACACAGCTGCAAACACGAAGTACGCCCTAGATGCAGAATCCGACTTTTCCATAACCTGACTGCGTCATCCTGCCTACCGGCACTCGCATAGCATTGCCTAGTCGTTACATCCGATACCATGTATTTCCTGATGTTACTCGCAATACCGTGCTGTATCTAACCTTACGTTGCCAGGCACTGTTCCACTAATCCATCTAGGCGATACTTACACCTGGTCAGACTGAAATGCGTATGTGAGGGTGCTGAAAGAAAACGGGGATGACGACATGTCTGGGCCACAGGCGATGCCTCGGAAGCCGAGGTCTGTAGGATGCATGTTGGAAGAGACGAGCCAACTACGATAGGACGCCGCACGGCGAACTGCGGGGAGAAGGGATGCAACCCTTGCTACACAGGCGCGCTCTCCTCAATCGCAGATGGATCGAAACGTCTGTACTGCCGAATCGGCCGAATCCCCGATCCGGGTGGACGCATCGAAGGAGACTCGTGGGATAAACAGCAGGCCAGAGAGGAGCGGAGGCAAGCCACTCGAGGCAACACGTCGGCTCTCCCGCCCCCATGTGCGAAGCGTCGGGCTGCCCCGTGGCTCCTCCAGGTTCCGGAGGAACTCCACCCGGAGCTTCGCCATGTGCTCCAGAGCCTCTCTCCGGCTCCAGCAGGCGAGAAAACGGCGCGCGTGCACCGTGCCACGTTTGGGGTCCCTTCAGGCCCCGCCCCAACGCGGTACGGTTCATGGGCCGAAAGACCGTTTTGGACGCCCAAGTGGGTACTGAAAAATGGGTACAATGCCCAACAACAAACGTTGTGCAAAACCGACAGCGGCCGCTGTTGGGCAGGTGGCTTTGTGTCTTCAACGAACACTGTCCGCGGCGGCGCGGGCAGCGAGTCCTGTCCAAAATGCACAGGAACTGTTGTTGGGCATCGTACCCAGTATTTCTGTACCCATTTCGATCGTCCCGAATTGCGCACCGCTCCACTCCAGGGTCGAGGATTATGTTGTCCCCATCCTACTTAAGGACCACATTCCAGAAATCATTTCGAGCACCCCGAAAAGTGTCGAAAGACTGTCGAAAGAGTGTCGAAACAGTGTCGGGCGAGTGTCTCCCAGGGCCCGACACGTGAAAGCCATCGAGTTTCGGCATTTTGGGGGGGGGCTCGAAATTCTTTCTGGTGATCCAGGCTAAAGTAGGTAGGAACATCAGAAGTCGAGGATCGACGAGGCCTGGGCAGCCCGCGGTGCGGTGCACGGGAGCCGCCCGCGGGCAGCCGCTGCCGTCGAGGAGGCGGGCCCCGAGGGGGCAACGGGCCCTGGCTCCCGGGGCTCGCCTTCCCCGGGGCGAGCGACGGCACCGAGGCCCGGGGAGCGCCCGCGGTTGGTCTCCCCCCTTGCTCAGATCGGGCAGGTCCTCCTATGGGCGGATTGTTGGACGAAACGTGACAAGTACTCAAACAGAAACCAAACGCAGTCAAAGCAAGATTGAAGGGGCCCTGGGACACACAAAGAAATACATACAAGCAACAGGACTCCCCATATGTTCCCATAGTGTCTGGCTTGTTGTTTCCCCCCCACTTCCCATAGTTTACCATATTTTCCTGGGAGTCGACGATTACTTGTGTCTGTGTGTTCTTGTCCCCTCCTGGAGCACGTCCAGCGAAGAACAAAAACAGTCGAAATCAAGTGTATGTTTGCTTGTGGCAGAGGAGACAAGGATGACGTAAAAACATCAACGTTTGGAATGCCGCGCGGATTTGTTGGATGCGCGCTGGGCCCCGCTCCCTGGCGCGCGAAGCGCGCCAAGAGCGGCGGGGGCCCAGGCGCCGATCCGAGAAGTCCGCGGGGAGCTCCGAACGTGCACTTCTGTCGATTATTCTTCTCCGATCGCAGGTGACGATCCTCGGAGCTGGTTTCTCTCAGGACCCGCTTCCTCATTTCAGAGCCACGGGCCCCGCCCTCTGGGGACAGCCTGGTCGGTCTCATGCCCCCGCCCCCGACCCCCCCCCCCGCGCCCCCCGAAGGAGGCCAGCAGGCAAGCAAAGGTCCGAGCGGACGCCCGACGGCGTCGCGCCCCACCCGTGGCGGCGGCAAATTGAAAAACAGGCCTGCCATGACGACCAGCGCTGGGGCCCGGGACACCTTCAAAGCCCCCCCCCCTGAGCGGCGCTGGGGCCCGGGACACCTTCAAAGCCCCCCCCCTACGGGGGTAGGGGGGGTCCGCGAGGGGGGGGGATTGGTAGGGGAGGTCCTCGCGTCGAGGGGAGGATGGGGGGTAAGAAGGAGGAGGGGGAGGAGGGGTCCTCGTTTCGAGGAGGAGGAAGATGAGGAGGAGGAGGAGGAGGAGGAGGAGGAGGAGGACAAGGAGGAAAAGGAGGAGAAGGAGGAGGAGGAGGAGGAGGAACAGGAGGAAAAGGAGGAGGCGGAGGAGGAGGAGCAGGAGCAGGAGGAGGAGGAGTACCCTCAGAAGGGGAGCCTTCTGGTTCAGGAACAGCCGGTCGGCGAGCTGCTTCTGCTCCTCGGGCTTCTCCTGCAGCCGGGCCCACCTCCGGTACGCCTGCACGGTGACCCAGTGGTCGCTGCGGAGCCCGCCGCCCAGCTCCTGCCGGCGCCTGTCGGAGCCGCCCTGCGTGAACACCCTGCCAAGACGAAGCCAGGGCGAGGATAGGATCTCTGAGATCAAGCGGCTCTGGAGGGAGGGAGGAGGGAGGGAGGGAGGGAGGAGGAGGAGGAGGAGGAGGAGGAGGAGGAGGAGGAGGAGGAGGAGGAGGAGGAGGAGGAGGAGGAGGAGTTGGAGGAGGAGGAGGAGGAGGAGGGAGAGGAGAAAAAGGAGGAGGATAGAAAGGAGGAGGAGGATAGGATGTCTCGGGCGCCGCCCTGAGAGCGATCCGGAACGCTCTGCAACGGATTCGCCCTCGCCCTGGCCCCGTCCGACCTGCCGACGTCCATGGCCGCCGCGATGGTGAGCGCCGCGTCCGTGCAGTCCAGGAGGCGAGAGTACAGCAAGAACTTGCCGATCTGCGGGTGCACCGGCAGCGCCATCAGCAGCCGGCCGAGGCGCGTCAGCGCGCCGTCCTCCTTCAGCGCGCCGAGGGTGACGAGCGAGCGCTTAGCCGCCTCCACCGTGCGCTTGTCGGGGGGGTCGGGGGCGCGGTCCAGCGTGGCCTCGATGTCCTCGAAGCCGAGCGCCTTCACCTGCAGGCAGAGGGTCTCCACCTGCGTCCGCTGCATCTCCGGGGGGTGGGACTCCAGGAACAGCTCCGCGTGCTGCACCGACGAATACAGGGCGAAGTAGCTGCCTGACCGGCCGCGGATGAGGAGGATGAGGACGATGGCGCTGCCGATGAGAACGACGACGGCAACGGCGACGGCGACGACGACAACGCCGACGGCGACAAGGACGACGATGACAGTACGGTCATCGTCGTCGTCGTGCTTCCCAAACCCTCATCATCGTCGTCGTCTTGATTAATGCTCCACCTTCTCCTCCATCGCATTTTGCTTCGTGCATTCACCATGGCGGCGGCCTGTTATGCCTGCGCGGTCTTTGTTACATTATGAAGTCCTTCCTTCGCTGCGCGGTCCATTGTGCCTCTTCACTTTCTTCCTGCTCACTCCCTCGTCTTCCTCCTCCTCCTCCTCCTCATCTTCCCCATTCTCATCCCTCCTCCGCCCTCCCTTCTCGTCCTACTCATGACTACTCCCTTCTCCCAGCCCTCCCCCCCTCTCCTCCTCCTCCTCCTCAGTCCTCCCACCTCTCTCTTCCAAGCTCCGTCCCCCTCCCATCCCCCCGCCTCTCCCATCTTCCTCACCGCTGTTCTTCCTTTCCCTCCTCCTCCTCCTCACCCAGCTCATCTCCCCTCCTTCCACATCGGTCCTGACTGCACGCCGGGGTGGTAAGGGGAGGTGACCTAAATGGGGCGTGCAGAAAAAAGCCCTGAAGGGGCACATTAGGGCCACGTTCGGGCCCCTGGCCCCTTTCGGGCCCTATTCTTCACCCCCCATTTGGGTCACCCCCCATTGCAACCCGCTCGAGCTGCTCCCTCTCCACCCGCTGATGCTCACCACATCGACGGGCGGTTGCTGGACCAGGCAGCGCAAGTTCGAGTGCGGACTCTGCAGTACGTTGTGAGGAGGCGCCCGAGACCATGCTGAACAGGGGCTGGTTATGCAAGGCCAACCACAGTGCCAAAGCCTACAGCTCCACGGACAACCTTGTACAATAGGAGCTCGACCACAAGAAACCTGCCACAAGAAACCCAACCCTGAGACCCTAGGACGCCCATTGATGTTTGGTGTGGGAACATCACGCTTTCCACAGCAAAGCCATCGAGACCCCCAAAACACAGGGCACCCTGGAGGTAAGCCGGGTGTTTCTTGGGATGGGTATCCACTGTACCCGAAGCGCTGGCGCAGGCAGAGGCTGAGCCGTCGTTTTGGCTCCCCGATCACATCCCTGCCAGCGTGGACGCAGGCTGCGCCGCCAGCTGAAGCGGAGCAGCCGGTCACCGACGACTCTCAGTGCAGCGAGCTGATGCCAAGCAGCCAGGGCATGTGTGGCATATGGCCCGTCGACACACCACTTCTCAATTGTGGGGGTGCTTCTGGTGGTGGAGACAGCACGTACCCACCGCTCATACGAGTTGGCATCGGGCTCGCAATTGTTTCTGACCTCCTTTCAGCTACGATTGGTGCCACAGTCTCTGGGCCTTTGACGGGCCGTGCGCAGTTTGTCCCAGGGCTGAACCCAAACGGTGTTTTTCGTTTTCGTTTTGTTTTCGTTTTCCCTCGTTTTGTCTTCAAACCGCCTTTACCGCAAAACGAAGTCGAAACGAAAACGGCCCACGAAATCGCCAAAACACCGTTCAGGTCCAGCCCTTGTCTGTTCCTCGTGAGAACGTCGTGCTCTCAAATGGGCGGCCAGGAGTTCGATTGGCCCAACCATTTCACAACAGACAGCGAACACGTCTGCAGGGGATGGCACGACCACGAGCATCACAAGCCTGCAGGCGAGCTGGTTGCCCTGTGGAGTGAGATCGGTGATCCCCTTCGGGAGCGTGGCCCAACCGAATGTGTTGTCCTGCAGGTACCGCCACAGCTTCCCGCAGAAGTGGCACCTCCTCCTCCTCCTCCTCCTCCTCCTCCTCCTCCTCGTTCACTCTTCTCCTCCTCCTCCTCCTCCTCCTCCTCCTCCTCCTCCTTCTCCACCTCCTCCTCCTCCTCCTCCTCCTCCTCATACTCCTCCCTCTGCTCCTCCCCCTCCTCCTCCCCCTCCTCCTCCTCCTCCTCCTCCTCCTCCTCCCAGCTCAAGAGAAGGCAAAGCACTGGATGCTGGCTGGCGATGCTGCCGCAGGCCCTCCCGAAGGGAGGGAGCCGCAGAGCGGCATCGTGCCGATCTCCTCGCACGTGCTCGGATGTTCGATTGCGAGCGCAAGGCCGGCCTCAACCGGAGAAGGCTCTTGAGAGCTTCCTCCTCCTCCTCCTCCTCCTCCTCCTCCTCCTCCTCCTCCTCCTCCCCCTCCTCCTCCTTGAGAGGAGTCAACGGCTGCTGAGAGAGCCGCCGAGCGTAATGGCAGAGCTTCCGTTGCCACACGTGCTGTTGATGAGTCGCCTGCCCCTTCCGCCTGCCCCTCCCCCTCCACTTCATCCCTTGGTAGCTGCACGTTTCAGCACGTCCCATTCCCTCAGCGAATGCGGACTTAAATGCGCCCGAGACAGTTGTACCCTTACCACGGAGGTAGAAAGGATAGGCACGCCCTTCTTCGATTTAGTCACTTTCGATTCGGTCGTCTCACATATGCCTAAGAGGGTCAGGCCGCACTTGGCGGGGGGTTGGGCGCAGGAACCACACGAATCAACGTACCGTCACACTCTGGGCTCTGGTTCTGCGGGAAGTGTGGTTTGTTATGTTCCCAAAGCCTTCGGAGCGATCTCAAATGAATGTGCAATAAGCTCCTCAACGGTACCAGGAGAGCGTGCCTGGATCAGATCAGGCGAGGGCTTGTTCCCATGGTTCTGAGTGCCTCCGAGAAGACAGCACGTTCACGGCCATCTTGATTCATATGACGCCGTCATGTTGCTGTTCCTATTCCTGTTCCTTCTCCCCTCCCATCCCCCTCTCTCCCCCCCCCCTTTCCCATCCCGCCAGCCCTCCCCTCCACCCCCTTCTTCCTATCCCCTCCCTCCATCCCCCTCCCACCTCTCCTTCCCTCGTCCCCTCCCACCTCTCCAACCCCTCCCCCATCCCCCTTCTCTCCCTCCCCCCTCCGACGACGTCCCTCCTGACAAGCCCCTCTCCCCTCTCCCCCGACTGGGGCCTGACCGGCAGCGGCCGGCGCGCCCCTTGCGCTGGCACGCGTTGCTGCGCGCGATCCACCTGCCGCGAGGGCGACGCGGCGAGTGTCTGGTCTCCGGGTCCGGGGAAAAGGCGGGGCACCGGTTGGAGTGCACGACGGGTCGGGCGGGAAGGCGGAGAGACGGAGGGGAGGAGGGGGAGGAGCCGGGGAGGAGGAAGAGGGCACAGGAGGAGGAGGGAGGAGGAGGAGGAGGAGGAGGAGGAGGAGGAGGAGGAGGAGGAGAAGGAGGCTGAGGAGGCTGAGGAGGAGGGGGAGGTGGAGGGGGAGGGGGAGGAGGAGGAGGAGGAGGAGGAGGAGGAGGAGGAGGAGGAGGAGGAGGAGGAGGAGGAGGAGGAGGAGGAGGAGGAGGAGGAGGAGGAGGAGGAGGAGAAGGAGGAGGAGGAGGAGGAGGAGCGGGCGAGGGGCGGAGAGAGGGCGGGCGGGGAGAGGGGAGGCGCGGCGTGGCGCGGGGGCAGCGAGGTGGAGAGGCGCGGGCTCGCGAGGGAGAGTTTTGCTTCGGGCCTGCGCGCGCGTGGGCATCGGCCAGGGGGCTGGATGCGCACGTGTACACGTCGGTCGGAAGAAGTAGGTAGAAACATGAAGTAGGAAGGCGGATATTGTGGATTGGGTCCGGGTCCTCCCAGAGAATAGCAGAACACAGCAACAGCATGTCGAGTCTTGAAGTGGGAAGGCGCTTGAAGTAGATCGGGATCTGGGAATCCAAAAATACCTACTTTCAACGACCGGCGCGTGTGTATGTACACAAAAGCGACCTGCGTACAGATTCCAATCCCCATATTTTTCCAATCTGGGGTGGTGGCCCCACGCAGATGGACCCTCTGGATCCCTTCGGGCCTGCGCGCGCATGGGCATCGGCCAGGGGGCTGCATGCGCATGTGTCTGTATGTACACAAAAGCAACCTGCGTACATATTCCAATCCCCATGTCTTTACAATCTGGGGTGGCGACCCCCCGCAGATGGACCCTCTAGATCCTGGGTCCCCACGTATCTCCAGGAGGCCCTTGCAAAGGGTTCCGGTGACTTCGGCCTGGCCAGCGGGTCCACGGCGGTCAGGAGAGTGGTCGAACAGCCCCGCGAGAGCACCCAGCGGCCCCAGACAACCACGAGACGCTTGGAGAAGGCCCAAGGAAGACCCCCAAGAAGGCCTCCCATCGCAAACACTTTGCGTTTCGATCATGTTTTTTGGGCCGATCAAACAGCCAACCACCTGGTTCACCCATCGGCCGGCTGGTCAATCAATCAGCTGGCCTGGGAAACGGCCAGCCTGCCACCCCAAAACAGCTGAAACATATCCGTGTTTCTCGCACGTGTCCCACAAAACAGTTACGCAGGACACATATAATGAATCCGATCCTGCTCTTGGGCAGGACGCGGGGGCACAAGGGTTGGAGGGGGCGGGGAGAAGAGGGTGGAGGGCAAGCTAGCTGCGCTCGCGTCATATCTGACGTCCTACCCCTCCCTCCCATCCCTTACCATGGCGCTGATTTTCTCTATCCGCGGACGCGTGTCGTAGCGGACCTGTGGCTCCGCGCGCGCGTGCGTAGTGGGTGGTGGTGCACGTGCGTGCGTGCGTGTGTGCGTGGTTGTCGTGGTGGTGGTGGTGGTGGTGGTGGTGGTGGTGGTGGTGGTGGTGGTGGGTGGTGGTGGTGGTGGTGGTGGTGGTGGTGGTGGTGGGTGGGTGGTGGTGCTGGTGGTGGTGGTGTTGGGTGCTGGTGCTGGTGGTGGTGTGGTGGTGGTGGTGGTGGTGGTGGTGGTGGTGGTGGTGGTGGTGGTGGCGGTGCGGCGCGGTGGTGGCGGGCGGATGGGCGCGCGAGAAAAAGGCCCGCGCTGGGGCGAGAACGCCATCCTGAACGACGGAGGCCAAACACCGATCCGAAAATGAGGCCCACGCTGCAGCGGGAGCACGATTCGGAACGATTCGGGAGCAGAAATGAGGCCGGCGCCTCAACGAGAGCAGCATTTTGGGAAAAAATGACGCCGGCGCCTCAGCGAGAGTCGTTTCCCGGGATTTCCCCGGCATCCTGTGTAAAAAAACAGTACGCGGAGGGTGCGCGGCCATCACCCGGACGCCATCAGGGGAAGAGGGAGAGGGTTGTGGAGGGGGCGGGGCTGGAAAAGGGGAGGACGCGGGGGATAAGGCGGGATGGTGAGGAAGGGGGGGGGAAAGGGGGGGAGAGGAGGTGGAAAAGATGAGGAGGCGGAGGGCCATGGAGGGGGGCGGGGGGGGGGGGGGAAAGTGCGGGGCAGCAGCAGCAGGCGGGAGACTGGGGGCGGGGGAGGAAGAGGGGGCAGCGTGAGACAGGGCTGGGCACGGCTGCGGCGCGTGTGCCCGGCACGGCGGGGGCGGGCGCACTGCACCATCAGGGAGGAGATGTTGGTCTCCGGGTTCAGGTCGACCAGCCGTTCTCGGCCAGAGTCTCGGGCGGGGTCGAAGGTCGAGGGTCGAGGGTCGAGGGTGGAGGGTGGAGGGTGGAGGGTGGAGGGTGGAGGGCGGAGGGTGGAGGGTGGAGGATCGAGGTTCGAGGATCGAGGATCGAGGGTCGAGGGTCGAGGGTCGAGGGTCGAGGATCGAGGATCCGGGGTCGAGGGTCGAGGCTCGGCGCGCCGCGCCCCGAGGATGGGGAAACGCCGATGAGCCACAGCTGGCGGAGCTGCGCGGCACTTCCCCTCCCGTGGGCCCGGAGCACACCGGGTCGGAGGGCCGAGCCGCATCGTCGGCGCATCGGCCACGGCGGGGCGGAGAAGAGCGGGCTCCAGTTTTCGCACCGCGCCGCCGACGTGTTGGCGATGCGGTGCGATCCTGCGCCCACACGTGCTCCCTCCACTTCGGAGTCCGAACTTCGGAGGCCTGGATCGAACGGTGGGGGTGGCAGAAGGCGAGGGAGACCCGGGAAGCGAACGCGCGCCGCGAGGGTGAGCAGGAGATGGGCAGCGGGCCGGCGCAGCCGACAGTCGCCGGAACTGGCAACAACGCCGCACGACTCCGGCCGAACCGCAGGGTACACTCGAAGCCACGCGCGCAGGCCTCCGGCCACGGTCGCCTTGCCCCCTGAGCTCAGGTCGGGCGTGTCCCCCTGACGGTGGATTGTGGACCAAGCATAAAACATAGCCAAAACATATGCAAACATGACCCAAAACAGTACCACAACATCGTCCCCAGGCTATGTTTCGACTATTTGTGGATCTGTTCCTCCTGTGGGAGGGACAGGCCCGGCTCGACCCTGAGCCCCGGAGCCCTCGCCAGGAGGGGCGCCGCCGCCCCCGCGGCGACAGCGGCCCCGAGGAGAGGCGCGGCTGCGGAGCGAGGCGCGCGGCGCCGGTCGACGCGTGGCCACGAGAGCGCGGGCCGAGGGCACGGGCGCCCTCGCCGAGGGCACGGGGCGCCCGAGCAGGCGGCCAGGTCTCGGGGTGCCCTGCGTCAGACGCGCCTCCGCTGGGCCTCCGGGGAGCCCAAGGAAGTGACGACAGTCTCGCAGATCGCAGCTTCCCAGGAGACGTGGAGGTCTCATTGGTGAACTGCGGAAGACGCACCTCCGCTGGGCCTCCCAGGAGCCGACGGCACCTCCGCTGGAGAGCCCGAGCCAGGGGGGCACGAGCTCCAACAGACGGGGGCTGCTCTGGATCCCTTGCCATCGCTCGGGCGCCCATTCCTTGTGCATCGCTCGTCTGCGCGTGTGCTGCTCGTTGCTCGCTGATCCAGGATGCGCCTCGATGGTCCTCGCCGAGAGGAGAATACACACGTCCGAGCGATGCCGAGAGACATGGCCACGAGAGCGCCTTGTCTTCGGAATGGCCTGGCACCCCTGGACCTCAGATCGACCCTACTCAGAGTTCATGTTTACCGATCTTTTGGCCACCCGGGGAGAGGAAGGAGGGGGACCAAGAGGGGGACTACGAGTAGGAGAGAGGATAGCACACGGTAGTGAGCAGGCGTTGCGAAGGGACATATGAGCGTATGCCGCCATCGATGGGCAAAGGAGTGCGCGCAGTGGGGGTAGGTTCGCTTCGCAAGTTCCTTGGCAAACAGTCCGAGCCGTCGCAAGGTTCGGACCGTCCGTCACGGTTCTGCAAGCTGGCTCGAAGTAGTGGCAGGACTAAGTAGGTCTAATTTGACTCCTCCTCCCTCCTCCTCCTCCTCCTCCTCCACCTCCTCCTCCTCCTCCTCCTCCTCCTCCTCCTCCTCCTGCTCCTCCTCCTCCTCCACCCCCTCCTCCTCCTCCTCCCTCCTCCTCCTCCCTCCTCCCTCCTCCTCCTCCTCCTCCTCCTCCTCCTCCTCCTCCTCTCCTCCTCCTCCTCCTCCTCCTCCTCCTCCTCCTCCTCCTCCTCCTCCTCCTCCTCCTCCTCCTCCTCCTCCTCCTCCTCCTCCTCCTCCTCCTCCTCCTCCTCCTCCTCCTCCTACTGGTCGTCCAAATGTCACCTGCTTGCCGCGCCGTTCTCCCGTGTTGTGCCTACGGCCACCCAAGCGCAGAAGTGCAGTTTGGACTCGGAGCTGAGCGCAGTGGTCTGGCTCGTAGCCTATAGCAGCCAGCGTTTTTAATGCCCACGCACCGCTTGGTGTATGGTCTGTCAGTCACTCAGTGCCCAAGGCGCACTGCGGCATGGCGGCGCGGCGCTGCAGAGCGCCCCCCCGCTGCCGCCCCCGCAGGTCGTCACTGCAATTGGGTGACGCTGGCCCCGGGCGGCACTGCGCGTGCACAGGTACGAGCGCTGCAAGCACAATTTGGACGTTGCAGCCCATCACTAACCAACTTCCCTCCCCGGGGGGTCCTGGCTAGATCTGATTGGCTCCTCCTCCTCCTCCTCCTCTTCCTCCACCTCCTCCTCCTCCGAAAACCAAATCTCCTAGACGGGCCTCGGATTGGGGGATAACGTCCAGTGAAGCCGAGGCTCACGCCAGTAACAGATCCCGGCTTGCCTGTGTGAAACGTCGGGTGTATGCGTGGCTGAACGTGGAGGACACATCCATCTGCGCTCTTGCGCTACCGCCGCGATGCGCCACATGATATTCAGAATCACCGATCTGGCAACATAGCGGTGCTAGTTACTCAACGCCTCCGAGATCCTTCGAAAATCTCGGACCTCAGATCGAACACCTCGAGCCCTTCCCCCCCCCCCCTCCCGGCTTTGCCCCTGGCTGACAAACTCTCGGCGCTCGGGGACGGAGGCGAGCGCACACGACGACGACAGTGAAGGCGGAGGTGCCGAATGAACCCAACGACACACGCGGGAAGGGGCACTCGCTGCTGTCTGTGGGCGTCGTGGTCTGGGCTCCCGGTCAGATGGTGGACGTTCCAAGGGCTCCGAGAGCCAGCATGGTCAGGTCGGGCGTGTCCCCCTACATGCGGATTTTGGACGGAAAATTCGCCGGCCCAACGGGCCAGAGGCGTGCTAAGATCTCCGGTAACAGGTTAACAATATTTCTAGTTCGCGCGCGCGGGGCGGCCCCTGGGGGTCCCTGGGCGAAAAATACCCCGGGCAAAGCCCGGGAGGAGACCCCGTACCGGGCAATTTTTTGACACCCCTCACGAGAATCGTGGCCTCCGAGGGGGGAGCCGCAATCGACTACCCCCCCTCCCGCCCCAAGAGGCCCACAAGAGCCCCCCAAGATGCCCTGGGGGCCCCCAAGACGCCGCCAAGGAGACCCAAGAGACTCCCAAGAGGTCCCTAATAGGCCCTAAAGAGGGCTCCAGGGCCGGCGGAATGAGCGAAGCGATTAAATAAGAAATACGTACTCAAAACATACTCGAACATATTCAAAAATAGTTACAGAATCGTAACCCGACTATTTTTGGACTATTCTTGAATATTCCTCCTGTGGAGGGACAGCCAGGCTGAACACAATCTTCCAGCCTCCCTGGGGGCGCCCCGAAGACATCGGCCGGAACCGGCTGCAAACTGACCTCCATCCGTTCTGGCCCAGCCCCGTCACTGCTCGACACATGTGCCCGCCACTCCTCCAGCTCCTCCTCCCCCTGCCCCCTTCTGCTGGTTTTGCTGCTGCTCCTCCTCCTACTTCTCCTCATCTTGTTGTTGTCGTCGTCGTCGTCGTCGCCGTCGCTTCTTGTCTTTGATATTGAACACTCTGTTTGAAGAACAATTACTGCTTATCCCCCCTTCAGGTGCACATGGTGTTTCTTCTTCAGGTTCTTATCAGGGAACATGTTCCTGCTCAAACTGTGTGATTGCCCCCCCGCCCACAACAGCAGCAATAACAACGGCTCCCGCCTGATACTTCCTCACAATGTATTCCAAAATCGCGCTCTCAAAATGGAGTTTCTCACAACTTAAACACGAATCGCGCTCTCGCGCGAGACTTCCTCACACTTTAAGAAGAAATCGCAGTCTCGCCAGGGACATCCTCGCAATTTATCCAAACGCCGCGCCCTCGACACTCAGGACTCACGCTCTCGCTGTGGCCTTCTCACGACTTACTTGGGAATCGCGCTATCGCTCGAGACTTCCTTGCGATTCATTCCGCAACCCGCCCGCACATGGTCGCTTGGGCTCGCCTTCCGGACCCGCTCGCCCTTGCCTGCCCGCCCGGTCTGCCCGTCTGTTCCTGCCACGTGGTTTCTGCTCCTAGCCCACCCCCTTCTGATAATTGCTATCATGCTGCATCCTTCTTCCTCCCCCTTCCATCCATCCTCTCCTCCCCTGTTTTAGGGCCTGCGCTAGATGCACGCAACGGGCAAGGAAGACATACCCCCAAGGGGGTACGATCGAGGACCGAGCGGGCGGGTACCGAGGGTTTGGGATACACGTGTTGAATGGCACGCGAGCAGATAGGAACGAACAGTCTTAAGCTGATGGTTGCTGTTGGTGGTGGTGGTGGTGTTTGTTGTTGTTGTTGGTGGTGGTGGTGGTGGTGTTGTTGTTGTTGGTGGTGTTGTTATTGTTGTTGTTGTTATTGTTGTTATTGGTGTTGTTGTTGTTGTTGCTGCTGCTGTTGTTGTTGTTGTTGGTGTTGTTGTTGTTGTTGTTGTTGTTGTTGAACATTATTAATTCTAAAGAATAATTATTGTTGGGGCCCCTGGTGCACGGCCCCCCTGCGCCGCCTAGGCCGCAGCTACATTTTCATCATTTTCGTGAGGAAGCCTCAGGTAATTCGATGTGATCAAGATCCGGTTGTTTTGTTCCCCCCCGCTTTCCCTTGCAAAAAACACTATAAAATGACATTTCTTGTTCTAATATAATCAAATTTCAAGAATCCCTTGCAAAAAATAAGGTAAAGTGGACATTCGCGCGCGCAAGACGAAATCCTTCCAAAAGCTTAGTGTTCGGAGCGATTTTAACATAAAAACATCAAAAAACTAATGGTTTTTCAACAAAAAAATGTCAAAATCTCATCCCGCGCGCTCTTGCGGATTCGTAGGAAACCCAACACTTTTTAAACATTTCTGTCAAACGGGCTTTTGCG